ACCGCCCCACGACCGCCCAAGAGGCCCTCAAGACGGCCCCAAAACGGGCCCAAGACTGCCGAAGAGACGCCCCAGACAGCTTCAGACCACCCAAGAACATGGCCCCAGATGAGCCCAAGAGCTGGAGCAGGAGGCCGCCAGAGACCTCCGAGAGGACTCCGGGACCCCCCCGAGGCCTCCAACACACCCCAGACCCCTGAGAGGCTCCCGAAGAAACGCAGACGAGGCCCCCCAAACAGCCCAAGAGAGCTTTGAGAGCCGTCCCGATAAAGCCCGAAGAGGGTAAAACCGTTGCTTTGTAGTGGTTGTTGTCAATTCTTCTCGTCTTCTCACGTTTTGCGGCGTCCAGCGCTCCAAGACCGAGGAATTCGAAAAAAGGCAATGTCAGATATGCCCTTTTAAACAAAATTCAGCAAATGCGCGCTCCCTCCTCCCACACCTTCCCGGAACATCTGCGGAACGTTTCTGGTACCGCGCTTCCCGACCTCCTGGGGAGCCCCCGAAACGCCCAAGGACAGCCCAAAACGAACCCCCAAAAAACCCAGAACGTCAAATAATTGTCCAAGACGCTCCCACGCAACCCAGGATAGCTTTCGGGCGGTTCTCCAGGCTCCCAGGAGGCCTCCAGAAGACTTCAAGAGAGCTCCGACAGGCCTCCCGAGAGCGCCCAGAGAACCCCTAAATCTTTCATTGTCATGGTTTTTCTAAAACAAGTTTTTGGCCTGCTCACCATTTCATGCTTCCAGCGCTCCAAGACGGCCGACGAGGCAGACCGTCCCGAGACCGCCCAAGAGGTCCCCGAAACGGCCCCTAGACGGGCCAAGACGGCCCCAAGACTGCCGAAGAGGCGCCTAGGACAGCTCCAGACCACCCCAGAACAGGCCCAAGATGAGCCCAAGAGCTGGAGCAGGAGGCCTCCAGAGACCTCCGAGAGGACTCCGGGACCCCCCCGAGGCCCCCAACACACCCCAGACCCCTGAGAGGCTCCAGAAAAATCCCCAACGAGGCCCCCCAAACAACCCAAGAGAGCTTCGAGAGCCGTCCCGAGAGAGCCCGAAGAGGGTAAAACCGTTGCTTTCCAGTGGTTTTAGTCGACGCGTTTCGCCTTCTCACGTATTCTCGCTTTCAACGCTCAAAGACCGAGGAATTTGGGGAAAAATCCCCCCTTGTTTTTTTTGCGCGAAGACCCCGAGTGGCATCCTAACAGACCGTGGCCATGCAGAAAACGCGGAGCCCACAGCCCAGGCATTTCAACTTGGGAAAAAAGGAAATCCCACCATTCCGTTTTTTCTAAGTTCGCCCCCCTGTCTGTTCTTGCACGACAGACCACAATGAAGGCCCCAGACAAGAACCCAGAGAGCTTTCGAAGAATACTAGAATACTTCACGGCAATTAATGATTCTTGCGTTTCCGCAGTAGATGGACTCGTAACACGCACGCCATCGTGCATCGTGCTCTGCGCAGTGCGAGCGGCGTTCGTCATGCGGCCCAGGAGTGCGGTGGCATGGGTGGATGGATGGAGGGAGGAACATATTTTTGTACAGCTGGCATTAGGGTTGAGAGTAACCGCGGCTCTGGAGGGGCAATCCACCTTAGAAGGCTCGTCGGCTTGGCAGCGGGGCCCGTGTTCTTCACCCATGTCTGTGGGGCCATGTTTCGACTGTAGTCCCGCATCGCACTTTCCGCAGTGTGGGGTTGCTTAGGAGTGCAGCCGGATTGATGGTGGAGGCACGGCGAGAGGATGGGGCTCTGTAGGTGGTTCTTGGGGGCTCCCGGCGGAGGGGGAGAAGGGCGAGAAGTGGAAGCAGGATGATGAGGAGGGGAGCCTGACGATTGGGAGGAGAAGGAGGGCAAGTGGGCTGACCATTCGGAAGAGGACCCTTGGGATGATGGGGAGGAGTGAGGGAGGCCACGATGATGATGATGCTGATGATGATGATCATGATGATGGTAATGATTAATGATGATTATGATGATGATGACGATGATGACGGCGATGCTGATTATGATGATGATTCTGATGATGATCGATGATAATGATGCTGATGATGCTGCTGATGATGATGGTGATGATGATGATACTGATGATACTGATGATGATGCTGATGCTGATGCTGATGACGATGATGCTGATGACGATGATGCTGATGCAGATGCTGATGCGGATGCTGATACTGATGATGTTGATGACGATGCTGATAGTGATGATGCCGCTGCTGATGGTGATGCTGCTGATGGTGATGATGCTGCTGATGATGATGATGATGACGATGCTGAGGATGATGATGACGATGATGATGCTCATTATCAGGATGCTGCTGATGATGGTGATGATGCTAATGTTGCTGCTGATGATGACGATGATGATGCCGATGCTGATGATGATGACGATGATGATGATGATGATGATGGTGATGATGATGATGATTATGATGGTCATGCTGCTGATGATGACGATGATGTTGTTGCTGCTGATGATGATGTTGCTTGCAAAGATGAACTCATGATGCTGATGATGCTGACGATGCTGATGATGATGATTCTGATGGTCATGCTGCTGATCATGTTGATGATCATGACGGCGACATCAACGACGACTATGATGATGACGATGATGATGCCGATGATGATGATGATGATGATGATGATGATGATGATGACGATGCTGATTATGACACTGTTGCTGATGACGCTGCTGATGGTGATGATGATGATGGTGATGCTGATGATGTTGATGATGATAGTGTTTAGATGGAGGTGATGATTAGTATGATGAGACTGATGATGACGAGTATGCTGATGCTGAGGATTATGATGATGATGCTGATGATGATGATGATGATGACGACGATGTTACTGATGATGGTGACGATGATGATGCTGATGCTGCTGATACTGATGATGATGATGATGATGATGATGATGTTTATGTTGATGCTGATGCTGCTGCTGATGATGATGATGATGATGATGGTGGTGGTGGTGGTGGTGATGATAATGGTGATGATTCTGACGATGACCATGATGCTGCTAATGATGACGATGGCGATGATGCCCATGGTGATCTTTCTTTAGGATGCTGATGGGGATGATGATGATTCTGATGATGATGGTGATGATGCTGGTGCCGACGCTGACGATGTTGCTGACCACGGCGAAGGCGACGACGATGACGCTGATGCTGACGGTGGTGATGGTGGTGGTGGTGGTAGTGATGGGGAGGATGACCAGGACGCTGTTGATGATGACGACGATGGTCACGATGTGACGTACACTACGATGCTGACTGGGATGATGATGCGGCTGATGATGATCGTGCAGGTGATGTTGATATGCGGATGCCCATGATGAGGGTTGTTAGTACGTTGCTGCTGCTGGTAACGGTAGTAATAACGATAATGACAGTGACAAAGATATTGATGATGCGGATGATGATGATGCTGCTGATGATGATGCTGAAAACGAGGATGCTGATGATGATGACGATGCTGCTGATGATGATGATGATGACGATAAGGATGATGATGCTGATGATGGTGGTACTCATGGTGATGACGATAATGCTGATGATGTGATGGTGATGATGATGGTGATGCTGATGGTGATGCTGATGCGGATGATGATGACGCTGCTGTTGATGATGATTATGATGATGATGATGATGATGATGCTGATGATGATGATGATGATGGTGGTGGTGAGGATGAGGATGATGACGATGATGGTGGTGCCGATGCTGCTGATGGTGATTCTGATGATGATGATGATGATGATGATGATGATGATTTGAGGATGCTGATGACGCTGCCGCTGATGCTGCTGATGCTGATGGTGGTGATTATGATGATGATGTTGCTGATGATGATGATGATGCTGATGCGGATGCGGATGCGGATGCTGATGCTATTGGTTATGATGATGCTGATGCTGATGATGGTGATTCTGATGATGCTGACGTTGATGATGATGCTGATGCTGATGCTGCTGATGATGCTGATGAGGATGAGGATGATGATGATGATGATGAGGATGCTGCTGATGATGATGATGCTGATGATGATGATGATGCTGATGCTGATGCTGATGCTGCTGCTGCTGATGATGATGATGCTGCTGATGATGATGATGAGGAGGATGAGGATGAGGAGGAGGAGGAGGAGGATACGGGTGAGTATAATGCCGACGATGATGATAAAGGTGATGAGGAGGGGGATGAGGATGATGAGGAGAAAGTGCGGGGGTCATACAGATACTGCTGATGGTGATGAGGTGGAGGGGGAGGACACAAGGGGGTATGAGGAGGATACGGAGGAGTTGGGGAAAGCATGGGGATCAAGGGGTGATATTGGGCGGGACAGAGGAGGAGGATGAGGAGGAGGAGGAGGCGGAGGCGGAGGCGGGGGCGGCTGCGGCGGCGGCGGCGGCTGGAGGTGGAGGAGGAGGAGGAGGAGAAGGAGAGAAGGAGGAGGAGGAGGAGAAGGAGAATGAGAAGGAGGAGATAGGACAGGATTCAGAGCATTGGGAAGGGATGGGCTGGAAAGGTTAGGATGTCAGATACGCCGCGAGCGCGCCTAGCTTTCCTCTCCCTCCTTTCCTCCCCTTGCTCCCCTCTGGCCCCTTTTCTCTCCCCCCTCTTCTACCATTCCCTTCCCGCGCCCGTCCTTGCCCCTCCTCCTTGTCGTGCTTCTCCTCCTCCTCCTCCTCCTCCTCTTTCTCGTCTCGTGCCTCTGAAACCTGAAACCCTTGTCCTCGTCTGCCCTCAAACCTCGTCTCCCTGCTGCCCGTGAAACGTTGGCCGCGTCGTCCTCGTGATTCTTCTCCTTGTCCTTGCCCTCGCCGTCGTCCTCGTGCTCATGCTCCTTCTCCTCGTCCTCGCCCTCGCCCTCGCCGACGTCGTCGTCGTCGTCGTCGTCGTCGTCGTCGTCTTCGTCTTCGTCGTCGTCGTCGTCGTTGTCCTCGACCTTCCTCTCCTTCGCCTTCCTCCCCCTCCTGCGCGACAGGTTGGCACCATGGGGGACATTTTCCAGCTCTCGGTCCTGGAGCTTGTCCGCAAGGTCTGCCGGACGAGCCAGGCTCACAAGGCGGGCTCTAGTTTTTTTTTTTTGGTCCGCCGCGCGGCCGCGCTTTTCGGAGGAGTTTCGCAGGAGAGGGCAGGATGGGTGTGAGGAGGAGGAGGAGGAGGAAGAGGAGGAGGAGGAGGAGGTTTCACAGGGACGACGAGGGCGCGCGAGACGCGCTCGCCGTCGTCATCATCGTCGTAGGAGGAAGAGGAGAAGGATGAGTGGAACATCAAACGTCATATAAAACATGATTTCGCGGACCGCGGACAGGTGATTCTTATACTGTTTCTTGTTCTTCTAGAGAAGGAGGGGGAGGAGGAGAAGGAATTGTAGGGGATACACACACACATATATATATATATATGTATAATATATATATTCTCATACGCACCTCTCCGAGGGAGTAGAGCTCAGAGGCGATTAATGCGTACGCGGGGCGCCGCGTCCGCGATTTTTCTGGCCGTTTCGCTAGGGGCATCCTCGAAATTCTGAAAATCGGTGGCACCCTTCACGCAGATCGTGACGTCAGGGTCCAACAACACATGGGAATTTCAACATTTTAACATACAACCTTCGAACACACATGGTAATTCCAATAATTTTGACCCCGATTCTCAGAGAATGGCGGTTTCGCCTGAAACATCCTCCCAACATCGAGCCCCGACGTACCCTCTGGTACCCCAGACCCCGCCTCGGAGCCTCCTGGGGGCCTCCTGGAACCTCCTGGGGCCTCCTGGGGCTTTCTGGACCTTCTGGTACCCCAGACCCCGCCTCGGAGCCTCCGGGGGGTCTCCTGGAACCTCCTGGGGCCTCCGTGGGCCTCCTGCGGCCTCCTGGAGCCTCTTGGGGCCTCCTGAAGCCTCCTGGGGTTTGCTGGGGCCTCCCGAGGCCGCCTGGGGCCGCCTGGGGCCTCCTGGGGCTCTAGAACTACATGCACACACAGAGACACAACTCACGCCCAACACATCACACGCTAGACAAACACAACACACACACAACACCTACAACGCACAAAAAGCACGCACAACACAGAGCACACATCACACACACACACACAACACTCACAATCCTGGGGCCTCCTGGAGCCTCTTCTGGTATCCAAGTCGGGCCTCCTGAGGCTTCCTGGGGGGCCCTGGTACACACACATCGCAAGGTGTGGCAACCCCACTTGCGCTCGAGTGCGACTTCGCTGTTGCATGTCACTCCTGCTTCAAACGCCCCTGCAGCTTGTTGTATGAGCCTGGGCACACACGTGCCACTTGTAATGAAGGCCTTACGGCCGTTGCCGCCGACCCTGCATGGCGGCGACAACCACGACCACAACGACGAAGCTCTCGGGGACCTCCTGGGGGTAGTTTGGGGGCCTCTTGGGAAGCTCGTGGGGGCCTCTTGGGGCTTCCTGGGGGTCTCTTGGGGGCCTCTTGGGGCTTCTTCGGGGGCTTCTGAGGGGCCTCTGGGGGTCTCCCTAGAGCTTCACAAGCCGAGGGCTCGAAATGTCAGTTCGGGTCCCCCGTCTGGGCTCCCTCTTACAACCGTCTTGGGACCCTCTTCGATTGTCTTGGAGGCCTCTTGGACGGTCTTGGGGCCCTCTTGGGTCGTTTTGGGGCTCTCTTGGACCCCTCATGGGCCATCTTGGGGCAGTCTTGGGGGCCTCTTGGCCTGTCTTGGAGCGTCGGGAAGCTGACAATGCGAGAATGCCGAAATCTTTCAAAAAGCTAAGGGACATCGATGATTTTTGTTCCTTGGTGCCCTCTTTGAAGTCCTCTTGGAGGCCTCTTGGGACGTTTTGGAAACCTTTTGAGCAGTCTGGAGGCTACTTTGGCACCTTGGACCGATACTTCGGCGATTCGGGGCCCTCGAGGACCGTCTTGGTGGCATCTTGGGGCACTTTTGCCGCGTCTTGGGGCTTTTCTGGGCCCCCGACCCGCCGTATCTGACCCGAGACTTCCCCGGGACTTCCCCGGGACCCCCCCCCCGGCCGGGAAGGGATCAACGGGAAGGGGCTTCCCTTCGACTCCTCTATAACGTTGCTCAATTTCGCTGTGGCTTGTGCGCTCGACGACGAGAACGACCACGACGACGACGACGAGTCAAACGGAACAGCCTCTTCCACACGCCGACAGGGTCGGTGGATATAAGTTTTGTGATCTTCTTTACATACTTTTGGGGCTTCTATGAGGCGGCCTCATCTTCGCCACGGCTGGGTTCCCTGCGAGATTCGGGCCGCAGTGCGCCTTGGGGGAGGTCCGAGGGTTGGCATCTGAGGAGGAGGATGACGAGGGGGAGCAGCAGGAGGAGCGGGAGGCGGAAGAGTTGGAGGCGGGGCTGGAGGAGGGGTGCGAGGGGGCAGGAGCAGAAGGAGGAGAGTTCAACGAAGGTGCAGGGCAGTTCCTCCGCCCACTCCCAGCTCTCCGCGCGGCATGGCGGGCGAACGAGCCCCCGGCCTTGATGCTAGAGGTTTTCAGAAGAGGACGGCGCCCGCTTTTTTGTGCAAGGACTCTCCTGACAGCCATCCCTCGAGGAAGAGGAGGACGAGTGATACATCGTGCTCTAGCCTCTAGCATACGATGTGATGCAACCTATGTGGTGCAAGCTACCTATGTGGTGCCGTCTATGTGATGCAAAGCGTATACATATACCTGATATACATATACCCGGGGTCCAGGCCAGGGGGCCCTAAGGGCAAACACTGGATCTCCATGCCGGTGGCAGGGCGCGTGCCCCCCTCCAAGACGCGCCAGGAGAGTCCAGAAACCACCACGATGGCCCAAGAGGGATCCGACTCGTTGAAGCACCGCTCCAAGACTCACAAGATGGCCCCAAGGCGCGCCAAGAGACTGACCAAGACGCTTCCAAATGCCCTCCAGAGAGCGGCCCGACAGGCCAACATCATTGATTTGTATTGTTTTTTTTTCTAGTTGTTTTGCTTTCTCGCGTGTTCGGGCTTTCGACGAACTACAGCAGACCAAGATGTCCTCAATACCCCGTCAAGACGGCCCACACGCGAACCGACAATTCGAGCTTTTCGCCCCAAGAGGCCCCCAGGAGGCCCCAAGGGACCCCCAGGGGTGGCCGAAAGGCCACCAAGACGCCCCAGAAGGGCCTCAAAGCGGCGTCTCTTGGCGTGCTCTTGGGCTGTATTGCTGTTTTTTTAAGGGTGTCTTTGATGCCTCTTTGGGCCATCTTTGGGCCCTTGTCTACGTGTGAACTCCAAGGGGTTTTTGGGACCTCCTTGGGGACCTCTGGAGATCTGTTCGGCGCTTTTTCGTTCGGACCTCGAGGGGCCGTTCTGGCAGTCTTGGAGCGAGCTTGCGCTGTGTCTGGCTCTTCGGAGGCCGTGTTGGAAGCATCTCGGGGCTGCCTTGGGACTCTTCGGGTCCTCTTTGGCTGTACGGTTGGCTTCTTAGACAGTCCTGGAGGCCTCTTTGGGCCATCATAGGACGCTCGTCCACGTGTGGGCTCCTATGGGCTGTGGAGCCTTCTTGGGGGCCTCTGGGGATCTCTTGGGAGTTGTTTCTTCGGACCTCTTGGGGCCGTTCTGGCAGTCTTGGAGCGTTCTTGTGCTGTGTCTGCGTGTTGGAAGCATCTCGGGGCCGCCTTGGGTCTCTCTTGGGTTGCCCTTGGGCTGTATTGTTAGTTTTTTTGTCGACCGTCTTGGACGCCTCTTGGGGCCATCTTAGGACGCTCGTCCACGTGTGGGCTCCTATGGGCTGGTTGAGCCTTTTTGGAGGCCTCTGGAGATCTCCTGGGAGTTTTTTTTTGTTCGCGGACCTCTAGGGACAGTTCTGGCCGTCTTGGAGCGTTCTCGCGCTGTCTGGCTCTTGGGGGGCCGCGTTGGAAGCATCTCGGGGCCGCCTTTGGGCTCTCTCGGGTTGCTCTTGGGCTGTATTGTTGGTTTCTCAGACCTGTCTTGGAGGTCTCTATGGGCTGTCGATTAGCCATGGCGAACAAATGTCGGCCCCAACCCGTCACCAGGAGGAGGGGCTGGATTGAAACAAGATCGAAAGGGAACGGCCACGTACTGTGTCTGCGCACGCCCACACCAGGACGACCATGAGAGGGAAGCGGAGAGACGAACGGCAGGGGTTAGACAGGAACAACGGAACACGAGGGAGAGGGGACAAGGAACCCATATTGTGGACGAAGGCTCAGAAAACAACATAACGCAGGATAAGGCAACGATACGCAAACTGGGAGACGATAGCCACGGAATGTTGAGTGAAGTAAGTCGATCAGAAGGACAGTAAGGAATCATCCATGATCATGTTCGGACTTCCCAACGCTCAACTACCTAGAAGCAGAGCGCGCGCGTTGCGCGCGTTAATGTTTCTAGTGCGCGTATGTATCCAGAGCTATATATAATGTGCAATTTGTCTAGGCATATACTTTTATGTGTTCACACACATATACATACATATAAGCTGTTGAAAGCTATGTTGTGCAAACTTTGCGGTGCAATCTATGTGGTGCAATAGTGGTGACGCAATCTAGGTGGTGCAATAGGTTCGTGTTGTGAGTTGCGTGGTGTAAGCTACGCGGTGCAATATATGTTGTGCAATTCACTTCGACCGTCTTGAAGCTGTCCTCTCCACTGCTCGTGCAAACATCCCACCCTCCCACCCGCAGCTTGGTCGCAAGACCTCTTGAGACAAGACCGTGACGGTAGGTGCCACATGGCACTTGGCCACGACACCGATGCCGACGACGACAGCGACAACGACGACGACGGCGCCGCCGACATCGACTACGACGACACCGACGACGTCGCCAACAACTCCGACGACGACAACGACGACGACGACGACACCGACGACGACGACGACGATGACGACGAGGGAGGTGGGAGGACGACGACGACGACAACGACGACAACGACGACAACGAGGGAGGAGGGAGGACGGCGACGACGCGAACGACGAAGAAGGAGGAAGGACGGCGACGCCGACGACGACAACGACGAGGGAGGAGGGAAGACGACGACGAGACGACGACGACAACGACGACGACGAGTGGTCAGAATC